GGGGGGGGGGTTGGCAGGTAGGGGGGTGCTTTGAGGAACCTGGCCTTGGGGCAGCAGAGATAGAGAGAAAGTCCGGCCCTGCACATACTGTCACCTCAGGAGTACTGCCTGTCACCTCAGGATTAATGCCTGTCTGCTGCATATTGTCAACTCAGGAGTACTGTAACTTTCTATGACTATCTTAACATGCTTCTTTGTTGTCATTTCACAAACTAAGAGGTGACAAGGATGTATTACTTACCTATAGTTAAAATAAAAATCTTTTTTTAAAAAGGTCTCTCTGGTGGCTAAGTACTGTATTAGATATGTAAATCCCATGTCTGGCTGACCAGAATAACAAATATTTCCACAGCTAAAGCCATTGCAAAAATCAATATGTTTAACAGTTAAGCCGGAGTTCTTTAATGTTCCCTATGACCTCCGGATGACCTTTACATATAGTAGTAAAAAAAGAAGTGCCTTTATAACTGAATGCTCTTGTATGTTTTCTAAACTCCAACCTACAAGATACAGAATGTGTGACTTCTTTCCCCATCCCCTATTGGAAGCATGTTTACATTGTGTCCCCTCCACCTGGCTGTGCTCACAGGTATCCGTTGTGACATTACCAGATGTATAATACATGTGTTCAGCAATCGCTCTCCGGATTTCCAGACATCCTCCAGCACTTTTGTCTGGGAGAGCAGTGCTCAGTCACTGTGAACTAACATCCATTTAAGAATCTCTTGTGTTTGGTGACAGTTAAATGGTACACATCGCTATTTGTTCCTGATGTGCCAAGCAGAATTCTTTTACTGCTGGTATAAGCCAACATGAATTTCCATGTGTATGAATGGCCTTGTAAAGTGATTGCACAGCACTGCAGAGCTGTAGCCCAGGGGAATAAAACGTGTGTTATTTTTGCAGGGTCCAGCAAGCAGTCTCCTATGTACATCAGTTCCTACTCATCACCAGCACGGGAGCAGAGCAGGCGGCAGGTGAGAGATACCTTACTTGTAACTGAATGCCTTTAGAAAAAAAAAAGACGTCAGACATTACACAATTCAAGGAAACCTGTCATAGTGGGAATACATTAAGCATCTCCTTCCAGATTCTACCTGAACATGCTAATTGGCCTTCATCCGGATACTTTATGGATCACCAAACCAGAACAAGCATGTAGATTAAGTGCTCACTGAGTTTGTTCATCATACCTGTTCCAGGTTAGAGGGTCTGCATGACAGCTAGGCCTGGCAAGCAGCATTTTTATACGAATACAGGCAAAGGTGGCCTCTGTATTTCTCATATGACTAACCTTCTGTAATTAACAATGTGAATCATTCCTTGAAAGAATAACTTCACACATTTGTTTCTATGGCAGTAAAAGAATTCTGTGTCCCCTGTCTGCTCTCATCAATGCTAGACCAGCTATTGCACAAAATGTATTTGAACTCGCCCACCATTGGTTGGCAGGATAATTACCATATAAAAATATTTTGCCAACCAATGCTGGGTAGGTTCAAATACATTTTGTGCCATAGCTAGTATACTATTCTCTAATATTTATAATTTCTTCTTTATAGTTCCATTATTAAATAGCACTTTACAAAATATATAAAGTGGGGGACAGGGGCTGTAGTATGTGGGTCTAATGTCCCTACAACAATACTTCACCTTGTAGGGAAGAGCCAGTGAGGCTTCCATGTTTTTTTTGTATTGTGAAGGGATCCCCTACAAACTGGAAAAGAACTTAGACTCCATGCAGATAGTGTCCCCAACCTGGATCGAACCCAGGACCTAAAGCTGCAGTGTGGAATGTCAGGCCACTATTCATGGACCAAAATCATTGGGAATAATTTGTATGAGCATTGACAGATCTGTGGCATGTCCTCCAAAAGACCTGATAGGTCTATGCTGCCAAAAAACACATTCAGCAGAATGGAGCATTGCTAGGCACAATCGGAGGTCATAGGAGGTAGGACAAAATGTAATTATTGCAGCTTACAGTCCTTAGATGTAGTGGCTGCGTTAGATTTCACATTGTTAAGCCTAAGAACATTTTCTCCAAGTACAGAAAACTGCCAGTCAATCCTGCCAAAAATCTTGAGCCGTTGCAACTTCCGTGCACTGAAATGAAATCTTAGCAATGTTATCTTAATGCATCACCAATAGGACAGTGCACACTTCCTGTTCTACAGGTCATGTGATGTAGGCAAACACACCCTTCCTTATATTCTGCCCTGCACAATAACCTCTGCATGTTTGAAATGAACTGTGTCTCATAAAAATGTGTCCTGCTAACCACCTCCTGAAAATCCTGGCTGGCATATTAATCCCCAACTGGAAAAAACAAGAAGATCAGGAATTTTGGCTTCACTTGCAACATACATGTTTTGTGTTGGTGATTTGGGTTCTGAGGATCAGCACAACAGCTCTCATTTTCAGCATTAGGACCTACATATTTCTCTCATGACAGGTTTCTCTAAAGACCAGAGATTTTACAGGGCAGCCCCACACCAGGAAGTAACCTCTGTCTCTGCAATGTGAGCAAAATAAAATATGTCGGATCCAGGATACACTCTCCACAGGGAATGCAGTCCATATATTCCAGACAGAGGAGCCAGCAATTCTATATTGTTATATTAAATGCACAAGGGATGTTACATAAAGACGGGACCTTCTATGTGATCACACTGCAAGGTCATCTTCAAGTGCTGATCAGCATAAACAAAGCAGCTGAGGAAAACTTTCAGAAATACTTTACTTTGTTCTTTCCCCAGAGTAACCACTTTGTTTAATGCTGGTGCAGTATACTCCCAATGATGTTTAATGATTAAAAAAGTCAATGAAGTACTGTTTGTTTAAATCGTCTTAACTGAAGCTCCCGCAGCATTTCCAGATCAGTAAATCCCAGTCTCTAAAGGATTAGGAGTAATAAATATGCTGAATAGAATAGGTTTATCAGCTCATTCTTACTGATCTGTGGCAGATGTGTGTGTAGCAATCTGTCTCGGAACTGTTTTGTTTACTTGTTTATCAGAGATCAGTGTTTTCTGTGCAGCAGCAGTGATATAACCCAGCAATGTCTCCAGGTCTTAATGTAAGTGTTAATGAGACTGCTCTCTCCAAAGCCCTAACCATCGGCATAGGTGTTTAAACAGTCCTCAGTACAAAGTCTGCTGCTCCAAGATAAGCGCTTAAAAGCCATGGCTGGTGTTTACCCTGGGAACCTTCCTTGTGAATGCTGAATCAATATTCTTATAGATTTCAGTACACAAGCAGTAAGAATGGCTCATCAAACATTTATCAGAATTCTCCATATAAAACATATCTGCAATTTTAAATCCACAAATCCAGGCTGCCTTGGCGCCATCTAGTGGTGACTTTGTAAAAGTGCAGCATTTGCTTTAACACAAACTGCAGTGTGTATACTGTATACCAGGGGTCTCAAACTCAATTAACTCGGGGGCCACTGGACAAAAATTTTTCTTCCATGGTGGCCGCTTGCCAAATGTCATACTTCAAAATACAATTTAACTATATATATATATATATATACAGAACTGGTGTTAATGTCGGAGTGTTTTTTCAATGTTGGTATGTATTTGTGATGGTTTCTTTGTATGCAATGTGAGTATATTTTTGTGATGGTTTGTGTATTGTCAGGATTTCTGTGAGTGATATTGAAATGTTTGTTAATGTTTCTGTGTGTGTCGTATCACTATGTATACATGTGTATGTGTGTGCAGTGTGTGGTTTTTCTACAGATTTTAATTTTAATCCTAGAGGACCAACAGATTCACACATGCACAGAAATATATATACACACACAGAAACACATACACACTCTCACACACATATACACAAACTCGCCATAATACATACACATACATTAATACATGCACTCACACACACACACACATATACACACAATAAGGCCCCATTTACACTTGTATCTTTAGGTGCAAATAGGGATTCCTGTATGAGAAACTTGCATTTTCCTGCAGCAGGATTGCCTCATCTGGCATTTACAAGCGGCAGCTGTCACCTATTCAAGTTAATGATCAGATGAGAACCGCTGCATGTAAACGCCTGCGCACCGCGGATGAGGTTAGGAATCGATCACTATCCCTGCACGCATTGATTGTGTATCCACAGAGAGTAATTGATGAATTAGGGATTGCAATTCCTAAACACACCTAAACTTACTGGTGTGAATGAGGCCTAATACACATACATACACACAGGAATACAATCCCACACACATCCACAATAATACACTCCCCTCCCCAATAATACACTCCCTGGTACACCTACATAAAATAAAACGTACAGCCCCCTCACCTGAATATGTTTCTGCAGGGAGAAGGCGCTGAGGCAGGATCCAGGGGTTGATTATTAGTAAGGTCCGGTGCAATGCGTCTTCAGAAAGGATCTGAGTGCCGGCAGTGACAGGAGCAGCTCTGCGGTCTGCATCCGACAGAGATGCAGTCCCTGTAGCTGCTCCCTCAACTCAGGTACACGGTTCGAGACCGTGTGCCTGACTTGTCAGCTGGCTGCGGACCACATAGTACCAGTTCATGGGCTGCTACTTTGAGACCCCTGCTGTACTGTATACATTTGGTAGAACTAAGGTCAGTGCAGGATGCTGAACTATTAACACAGCAATACTGCTGCTGTTAAAATGTCTAAAAATAAGTGACTTTTATGATGACATTTGCCTGTTCTAAAATAGAAGACTCCCTGCCAACGTTCTGAAATGGAAGGCTCCCTGCCAACATAATCGGATAATTCTTTGCAGATATTTTTCTTCTTACTAGGCAAAATGTTAAACATCATATCTGCCTTTGTATCGAGCAGTGAGGTTGCCCAATAAAGGCCGTGGTCGTTCATTCTGGAACTATTGATATTGTGATTTTTTTATTATTATTATTCAAAATGTAACACTTGTATTTTAAGTGAACCTGTAGTATCTCCAGAACTGGTAAACCAACAGAAGCCCAGTAAAGCAGACACCACTGTGTCACTTTTCATACCTTTAGGCTGTGGAAAATGTTTTCAGTGCATTTTGAGAATTATATTTGCCTGGCTGTTTTGCTGATCCAGTGCCTTCAGAATTTCTGTGTATGTAAATCAGGAGTTCAAACTGCGTTCCTGTATCAGAACAATCATGGAACAGATACAAAGTATTGTTACTGGAAACGGACAGGCAACTGTAAATTTTAGAAACTGGTTAGCAATGGCATTCAGCATGTTTCACAAAGGTATCCTTTAAAGCCTTGGTTCTCAACTGGTGGGTCGCAACCCCATGTTCAGTGGGTCACAGTGAGCCTTCCACTTTTCTAGGTGAGTAGCTCCTCAGCCTCCACCTTTTGCAGCACTGTCAGTTCTTTCGCCGAAATATGCTGCCCGCCACCGAGTGTAAGCTTGAGGCAAAGTGGGCTGCGGCTATGGCTGTGAGGGAGCTCCATCCATATCTACAGCTCCTTGTGTGTGCTGTAGTGGTGCCCTGACTAGAGTGACATCACATTCTGGCTCCCGGCACCTCTACAGGGCATGCAAGGGAGCTGTATAAGTAATGCACATATGGAGCTCCGTCACAGCAGCCTGCACTTGACCCCAGGCTAAGGATCCGCTCCAGTTCTTGTAAGGTAAGGAGACTGGGAGGACCTAAAAGAAAGAAAAACAAATTTTGAGTGTGTGAGAATGTCTGTGAGTGTGTGAGATTGTGTATGTGGTTGTGTTTGTCAGTGTTTTTGAGGGCCTGTTCACACTAATACAATAATAATGCAATAATCACACAGTCCCATGTCACTGTACCATGCAATCACACATACCACGAGTTCTGGTGTGGCAGGTGTGTTACATTGCCATTCATTTGAATGGCATCCCAAATGCACCTCCCACCCAAAGTTCGATAGCAGTGCGACTTGGGTCGCAACTCAATGACCGAAGATAAATGTGTGTCCTGAGGTTACACAGGTTGAGAACCACTGCTTTAAATAACAGCTGAGCTGCTTCTATGCACCGGGATTTGGGTCACAGTTTCTGAAATCCACAAGATTTGTATTCACTATGTGCATTGACCTGAAAGAGATGACACGGCTGTGCTTTCAGGCAGACTGGCTGTCTTTTGAAGTCTGGATCTGAGCTGTCTGATGAGGAAGGAGTCATTACTATTAGTCATTTAGTTCTGTGTATAAATTTCACCTAAAGCTACTGATCTCTGTAGACAGGTTTTTATGAACAGATAGTTGGAGAGAGCAATAAATGGAACTGGAGGCTCCACCTGCTGGCTGGAAGAAACACTGCTTAATATTCACATGTATTATGACCAAAAACTTTTTAGAACACCTACAAAGCCTCCATATATCCCTTCAAGGACATCTCTTAATTGTGGCTGATGTTTAAAATAGCGTGTGGTACTTGGTGTTAGCTATGATATGAGGCTGGAACACCGTTATCAGCTCACCACGCTGTGCAATCAGTAGTTCAGCCTTTAAGAAAAAGTTTCAGAAACACTGACGGAAAACAGATATTAATATTCTAAAGTGTTAATGAAGTGTGATCAGCCAGCAATGGCTCTGTATTCGTATGCATAACATTGTCTTCTTCTGTGTCCTTCAGCCGAACCAGCTGTATTATAGCCCTGAAGACTCCAACAGAAAAAACTACGACTCCTACAGATTGTATCTCCAGTCCCCCCACAGCTATGAAGACCCCTACTTTGACGAGCGCGTTAATTTCACATCCACCGCTGATCAGAACGCACAATATGGACTCAAATCAACTACAAACTATGTGGATTTTTACTCCACTAGAAGGCCTTCGTACAGGTCAGAACAGTACCCGGGCTCTCCGGACTCTTGGGTGTGATATGAAGAGTGCCCCCCCAATGGACTCTACCAGTAATGTTTGACTTGATTATTATTATTTTTTTTGAATGGCCTTATACTGTTTTTTTTTAAAAAGCTGGAATCCGAAAGTGATTTACAAAAGAGGGATCTTGGAACACGGTTATTTTTTTTGCAGAAGGATAATCATGGATGGGCAGAAATTAAAAAGGGTGTTTTTTATTTTCTTTTTCCTTTTTTTTTTTTGCTGTTTAGGGTGTAGCTCTTTGCTTGTAGCGCTAGACTGGTGATGGTGCGAGCTATGTGAGTGAAGGTATGAGATTGATGAAAAAAAATGATTTTTGGGAAATATGTCTATGGTCAAATCAAAATCTTGATATTTTTTTTAATGTGAATAAAGTCTCGTTACAATTAGTTTGTACAGAATTATGGATCAACCGAACGCTTTCTTTGTTTCCCTGTTACTAAATGTCGACCCTGTATGCTATCCTGTCTTGTAAATTTCCCTAGCGCCCATGTAAATATAGCTATGCCATTACTGATTGCGGGTGCCATCATTTGTAACGCCGTGTATCATTTGCAGTCACTGAAAAGCAGAGATATGTAAATCAGTATATTAAAGAGCTAACATTTTTAAGCGTAGCATCACTGAAACGTAGAGCGTATTCTACATTCCTCTCCATTCCTCTCCATTCCCTGCCGATTTCATAACGGTCTCACTGCCATTTTCTATGCACATTGGAAGATCAAATAAATGTGGACACGCCATCCACAGAAAATTAGTTCACGTGTGCTCCTTGTCATGTGTGTCACGTTTTGTGTCATTGAATCGCTGTCTTATTTTTGTCCAATCATGCCAGACCTGAAAACCAGGAGACCCAAAAAAAGACACCTCTGCCCAGGGCAGTCAACGGGATGCTTCATTTCATTATCTAACCTGCACTCCACCCTCACTGTTCCTTTTTGTGAAAACACGTGACTGGTTTTTATTTGACATGTTTTGCTTTTTATTCTGTAATAATTATGCTATTTTCATGCTCAGTAGGGAACACTTGGTATTGGATTTTGTGCCTGACCAAATTCACAATTCTTCGAGTGACCCTGTGAGGTGTGTAAAAACGTGCAAACCGCAAATCTTGTGAAGGAACAACCATTCTACCGTAAACTCCCTGTTATCCGGCATCCACGGGGATCGGTAGATTCCGGATAAATTTAGTTTTTGGTTGCTTGAGATTTGCTATTAAAAATAGGTCTAACTAATGCCATACCCCATACTATAGCATATCATAAACTCTGTATTGACTTCATATTAATATTGAAATGTAGTAATCAAAATAAAATTAAGACAAATAGACACACAATCATTTCCAGGATAATAGATGCCGCAGATCAGCAAAACAGTAAGTACATATGGGATTTTTTTTTCTGGTTAGATGAGAGTTATCATTGAATACCGGATTACTGAGAGTTTACTGTACTTATGTGTCTGCAGGCAGTGCATTGCATTTTTGTTCTCTTTGCCTCAGGCCCTGCTGCGGCCGATACTTTCATGTGTGTGTTGAATAGTTGTGTCTCCTGTTGGCCACTGTGGTTTCTCCTGCCAACCCCTGAGTCACTATTGTGTCCTGTGGTGACATAGCAGTCAGCGGGAACAACCGCAACAGCTAGAAGGTTATTGACCAAGTCACAAAAAGGATATTAGGGGACTGGAGTGAGTGCAAAGAATGGCACCTCAACTAATAAAAGCCACGGAAGACAACTGCTATGAGCAAAGCTTAATGAAACTGAATGTATTAGTTCAAAGGAGAACTATGGGGTTAAGGCTTTTCCCCATAGTTCTCCTTAGGGTAACGGGAGGACACAAACTAGCGTCCTCCCGTCACCCTAGGCTCAGTATACCGCGAGCTGTAGCTCGCGGTATACTGAGACGCCGAAGCTGAAGCAGATCCCGACAATTATGTCTGGATCCGCCCAGCTGCGTGACTGACAGCTGCCTCTGCCTATCTAGAGGCAGAGCCAGCTGTACCCGCCCCCTCCCCCGTATGTTCCACCAGTCAGCGCTGGCGGATCAGAGCGGGGAGGGGGAAATCCAGCCCCTCCCCTGTCACGGAAGAGAGCCCTGACAGGATCGAGAGGTGAGTGAACGCCAGTATGTGTTCGCTCACCTTCCGATCTACTGAGCTGACCTGTGACAGTCTCATTGTCACAGGTCGGCTAGAATTATGAGGTGAGTGAAAAGCACTCACCTCATAGTTCTCCTATAAAATCACGCACCTAGGCATGCAGACGCTTCTACAAACATTTGTGACAAATTGGGTCGCTCTCAGGAGCTCAGTGAATTCAAGCGTGGTATCGTGATAGGTTGCACCTGTGCAATAAGTCCATCCGTGAAATTTGCTTGCTATTAAATATTCCACGGTCAACTGTTAGTGTTATTATAACAAAGTGGAAGCAACTGGGAACAACAGCAACAAAGCCACGTAAAATGACAGAGCGGGGTCAGCGCATGCTGAAGCGCACAGTGCGCAGAAGTCGCCAGCTGTCTGCAGAGTCAATAGCTACAGACCTCCAAACTTCGTGTGGCCTAGAGTGACGAATCACGCTTTTCTGTCTGTCAATCCGATGGACGTGTCTGGGTTTGGCGGTTGCCAGGAGAACGTTACTTGCCTGAGTGCCAAGTGTAAAGTTTGGTGGAGAGGGGATTATGGTGTGGGGTTGGGCTTGGCCCCTTAGTTCCAGTGAAGGGAACTCTTAGGGCATCAGCATTCCAAGACACTTTGGACAATTTTGTGCTCCAAACTTTGTGGGAACAGTTTGGGGATGTCCCCTTCCTGTTCCATCATGACTGCCCACCAGTGCACAAAGCAAGGTCCATAAAGACATGGATGAGTGAGTTTGGGGTGGAGGAACTTCACTGGCCTGCACAGAGTCAGAACACCGATAGAACAACTTTGGGATGAGTTAGAGTGGAGACTGGACCAACATCAGTACCTGACCTCACAAATGCGCTTCTGGAAGAATGGTCAAACATTCCCATAGACACATTCCTAAACTTTGTGGACGCCTTCCTAGAAGAGTTGAAGCTGTTATAACTGCACAGGGTGGGCCAACTCAATATCGAACCCTACGGACTAATATTGTGATGCCATTAAAGTTCATGTGCGTGTAAAGGCCGGCGTTCCAATACTTTTGGCTATATAGTGTATCTATATATAATATCATTTATTTTTAAGCTGGATGTGTTTGTGTTTCTAAATGCACAGATTGTTACTCTCTATTAATAGTTAAGTAGTTACACTGTATATTGTTGCTCCAGGGACTGGATCTGATTACCTTGGGAAATCGGCTTTTAGAACAAAGTTGGACAATGCTTCATAAGGTTTCTAAGCCTTCCCCTATATCAACTTTAGGTCGCTGTAGAAGCTGGTTTTCATCTATCTATTGGCTGAACTCAATGGACATGTGCCTTCTTTTTTTTTTTTTTTTGCAACATGAATATAATATATCTGTCTGAATCTGTGACCCAAAACAAACATACTGACTCCTTTTCTGTCTGTTCCAGGTGAGGGGCTCAAAGTAGTGAAGAAAGAGGGTCAGCATAACAGCCAGGCAAATGGCATTTTCAGAGAGAGCCTCCATGTCTTCCTACGGACAGGTTTCCTTTAAATATAGGTTAGAGGTCAGAGTAATTTTAGGTCACTGTATAATTCTGACAATTTTATTGGGTCTGTCCTGCAAACTTCTGTTAATGTACCTCATCTTATAACGTCTAGTCTCATGCACAGCCTGACAAACGCTCTCATTTTAGAAAATCTCTGTAACCGAAGGACAATGGATAATTTGTGCTTCTGTCACCTCACATACTAATCTGCTTCCACACTGCAGCATGCATCAACATTTTAATATAATCAGCGAACTGACACATTCTGAAATCTTTCTCAGTGCGGGCATTTAGGGAGACTGTCGGATCCCCCGCTGGTTCCTCACCGTGGCTGAACCAGTGTTGCCAGCATAAAATGCACAGCTACAAAGGAAGGAAGTCATTTAAGAAATCAGCTGATACCGTAGACTGTCACACTGTTTTAGCTTTTAGGAATTAGAATTCCTTTTCTCTCGTTACAAAGAATAGCGAGGTGTAGAGGAGAAGCTGCTTCCCGTTGAGCTCTGCAACTTTCCCGACTTGCACACTAAGCAGATTGAAGAGAAATGGCCGGTGCAGGCCTCATTACCATAGATAGATGGGGGACAAATGGCAAACATAACGTGTGTGTGTACACATATATTTCTGTGTGTGTATATGTATATATATGTGTGTGTGTGTGTGTGTGTGTGTGTGTGTATAAAAAACTGAAATATCACATGTCTCGGACTAGCAGATCAGCTACTCGCATGTTTTTAGAGGTATTGGATAAAAGAACAGGACAAACATGAATGTGCTTATAATCTTTTATTCCCAAAACTGCACCTCGGATTGTTAAATGGGAAACTCAACTTGGAGATGAGCTATATAATGTCATGTGGGATATAAATAGTCTGACTACTGTGATATCCTGTCCTTTAGTTATATTAAAAAGAATACAGCACATAAAATGGCCAGTATCTCCCCTTATTTCAGTCATAGTGAATGTTCATAATACAAACATAAGACAAGCAGGTGGCAGGGTTCCATCTTTTAAGATGGTGCTTGGATATGTGTTAGGCAGAATTGTGCTGATATCCCCTGCAGACTGTACACAGCTTAATGTCGGCACATTTGACTCCTGCAACTCTCTAAAGCAGGGGTAGCAAACCTCCGGCCCCCCAGCTGTGGTGGAACTACAAATCCCATGATGCATCTCTCTTTGGGAGTCATGCCTGTGAGAATCTTGCAATGCCTCATGGGATTTGTAGTTCCACAGCTGGAGGGCCGGGGGTTTGCTACCCCTGCCCTAAAGGCTGCCTTCAATATGCAGCGAAATCCCACACATGCCCGATAGTGGTCTTCTGTGCTGCTGCTGCTACTACTACTACTCTGCATACATGGAATCTCACCACCATGTTTCTGACCTCACAATATGGCACCAAGATCCCACACATAGAAAGTAGTAGCCGTGCAGACTAGCCACTACCGTGCATGGTTGGGATTTTGCCGCCATATTGACAGCATATTGATAGGAAGTGAAAACAACACTTTTTATCTGCATACATATGGGTATCTTTTTAGGAGCGCAGGAGTCAAACTCACTCTTGCATGCTTGGTAAAATCCAGTTCACACCATTTTGCCACATTTTTTATTTTGCTGAGCCTCCATGACTGAAAGAACGGCAATCTTGAATGAAAGGAATGGGCCAGTAACAGTAAGGCTGGAAAGGAAAGAGCTAGATGATGATGGATGTTCTCCAGCCAGGAAATGAGACGGACTCTATCTGACTTGCTGTATCTTCTAATGTACATTGTAAGAAGCTCACAGCGTGCAATGAAATCAGAGTGAACAATTACAGGTAATGAGCCTGTACAACTGAGCACGAGGGAAGGTATGGCTGGAGTTCAGCTTTAACCCATTTAATGTCGGCGGAGGATTGTCATTGCGCAATACCAGCTGCGTTCAGTTCAACAGGGCAAGTATTTAAAGTAACATTTGTTTGCTAGTACTCACCCAGAGCCCATCAATAAAATTCCTGCTCACTGGCACATGACTTTTCAGGCACATTTACTACTATGGTGTCCATTATTGAACTGGACCTTTACCTATGAACTTTTTCTCTGCTGTTTCCTCCCCGCTCCCTCTTACACAAG